TTTAGGTCTTTAGGGATTTAAGGGTTTAGGGCTTTAGGGGTTTAGGGTTTTAGGGGTTCAGGGTTTTAGGGGTTTAGGGTTTTAGGGGTTCAGGGTACGTAGTCTAAGCTCCTTCAAAGGGGATTATATAGGGGACTACTTCAGGTGGTTGTTAAAGGGGATACTGGAGGTTTGTTTAGACTATAGCTCAGGTGGACCCCTCAAACAGTAATGGTGACTGTAAGTGATACGGTGACTGTTTTGGGGTCCTCTTATGTTTTACGTCCATCCCATTATGCCACTTTTGCCGGTTCGGAGGTCCACCTAAGGTATACGGATATTTAAGGTTTAGGGTTCGGGCTTGAATCGACACTGGGCTTATCCAGACTTTATAGGGATTGAATGTAGGGGGCTATTCAGTGAAAACCGGGTTTGGGTATATATGAGTAGCACACAAGAATACTACTGGTAATTACCCACGCAAACATGAGATTGTTAAGCCGTGCGAGAGTGCGCTAGCGAAAGAAAAAAAAACTCACACTTCCAAAATGGACAACTGCAGAATGCTGGAGGAAAGGCTTTCTGCTGCGGATCTTGAAGTTGCCTGTGAAAGGGCCTGAAGCTTCCTGCTGCAGGATGTGTCGTCCCTTCTAGACGTATCCCCTGAGACGTGGTTCACCGGCAAGCCCAACACTCAGCCTCAGCCTGCAAGCGCATGATCAGCAATCATCTCGCAGCAGTTTGAAAAATCCGCAGAGCTACAGCTACTAGCATGTCCCACAAAGCACGTCCTAGCCAGGGTGGATCATACAGCTCCCTTTGGCGTTTTCGTGAAGGCTTGGATGCTGATTCTTGAGTTCGATGTTCTGGTTGCATCTAGCACAGGCCGAACTGTCATGCTTCAGGACCCATCCCCTTTCTGGGGGTCTGGAATCCACAGTGGAAAAGATGCTTGGTGCTTCTAGATTCCCACTAGGTAGTAAGATCCCCATGAAACTGTGATCCTTCCATTTCAGCCTTTGCTTTGCAGATCCCCTACCCAGACAACTCCGGGGAGGCTGGCCGGCAGGGCTCAAGCAGTACTTTAGCCCCAAGACGCATAGCCAAGGTTTGCAGGAAGATGCTCAGCCGCTAGCAGAGTTCCTTCTATGGTTATAAACATTGCATTGGGAGGCATTCGTTCTGACTCAATACGTGCGTCAGTCTGCATGGCCTATGTGACGCAGTTGCATCCCTCTCTAGCCCGTCAAGCCCATTTTAGCCCTGGCAGGTACTTCTTTTGAAAGCGCGATGCAGTCAACTTTCATACGCTATCTGGTTTCTGGAGGGTTCGTGACCAGTTGGTACTTGCCGTCAGTGACGCTCCTGAAGGGTTCAGCTATATTTCTGTCCACACCAGGTGCCTCAGACTCAGTTTTTGATGAGCCTTGCTGTCAAATCCATCATGTTGAAACCTGGTTTGTGGGCAATAGTGTCTATAGAGGCCTTAAAATTTGGAAAGGGGATGGTTTGTGTGTAGACAGATCCATGAGTCCGTTCTCTTCCTTCCAGGGAGTCGGCCTCGTGCACGTCTCTGAAATGAGAGCTGCTTGCCAGCAGGTGATGTGGTAGTTCCTATAAATGGCGGACCCTAATATAGAAACCAAATTGCCACAATCCTTATAATCGGGAACCTCAAAAGGTATCCCTAACTCAGCGAAACCCCATGTGAACTCAAGCGAAAGGGTGGGAGTAAGACAAGGAGCACCTACACACACACACACACAGAGACAGAGGACAGCTGGGATGATCAATTCAAGGATCGTACATGGGACCACCCTTGTGGCATATGCCCAGGGCAAATACCCAAGTCATTGATGAGCTTAATAAGAGCATGCCGTAGAAGGGTGAGGAGTCCAGCTATCGTGTCCTCACGGAAGGATGTACCATTGTCAGCGTGTCAAGGTGATTAGTTTTGCGCTGGTCAGTATAAGGGATAGGGTGCCTTCATGAAGGATCAGGTAGAAGCATCCAAGTAGACTTTTCCTGAGGCTTCGAGACGGATTCTGGAAACGGCGCCTCATTGGTTTAAAGGTACAGACACATCTTCAAAGGTCCCTACAAAACCCCTACATCCCACCTCAAAGGGCCCCGAACTACTTCCATGAGGACGGATATGTTGGAGACCCTGCTGCCGAGGTGGATGCAGGAGGCTTAGAGAAGCAGAGTTCCCCAATGTGAAACTCTTCCTATGTGGGGGGGTTCCCAAAATCATGGGTACCTTTTCGGGGGTCCCCATAATAAGCGTCATAGTATTTGGGGGTCTATATTGGAGCCCCCCTATATTAGGGAAACTACCATGGTTGCCCCTGATTGCGAGCATCCTTCTTTTTCGCACCCCGACATGGGCCCACAATTGTTAGCAGCACCAGTTTGGGAGCCAATGTCAGCAACCGAGGTGCAGGTTGCACCAGAAGTAGCAATGTTTCTGCTAGCCCTACTTTATAACCACCAGAACTGATTCCCGTTGAGAGGACTCCAAAAGGGGACCGCGCAATTTGAGAACCACTGCAGTTTACTTATATAACCCCAGTTTCCATGTTCTTTTCCATTTGATTCTCCATTATCCCAATATACAATAGACCCATATATATGTATACACATATATAACCCCAATATATGAATGCTGCTGGTCACCCAGCAACCTTCCCCTTCGAGCATATTCCTTGGAGTTGTAGCTTGAGGTGGAGCAGGAAGTCCAGGTCCGCGTCATCCAGGTTGATCCTGACACAAAGAGGCGGCATTTGCTGGTATCATGGTATTACTGTACAGCGCATAGGAAGAAGAGAAGTAGAGAAGTAGAAGGGGGCAGCAGGAGGAGGAGAAGGAGGCAGGAGGGGGGACCAGAAGAACAGAAGTAGTAGAGGAGGAGCGTTGGCGGCTCTGGTTCGTTTTAAGCATGGATAGGAACAATTTAACCAGGATGTTTTTATGACGTAAATGACCATGCCTGTAGGGTGGGGACGCTAGAACCTGGCTCTGTGCGATCTTAACTGTGATACCTACCGCCACTGCCGCCGCCACCGCCACCATCACCACTATTACCGCAAATTATAACGACCTCGCCCGACCTCAGCTTAAATGGTGCTTCATGCACGATGGTTCTGAAACTCATAGAAATTGGCCGCTACCACGACTTCCACTACGCAACGACTACAACTCTTATGACCATAGCCATCACGATGGCAACAACGTTTACGTCATCATCTATTACCACTCCTCCTCCTCCTGCTGCTATTCACCACTACTACTACTAACAACAACAACAACAACAACAACAACTACTACTACTACTACTACTACGACTACGACGATGATTCCAGCTTTTGCTGCAGGATCTCTTTGTCCATGAAGCCCGTGCCGGAAGCGTATTGATTGGAGATCCACAAGAGATGGAAAAAGAGTCCTCCGCGTGGGTCCAAAGCGCTTTCAATTTCGGGTCCAAAGTATTTTCAGCCCAAAGGCAGCGTGGATCGTCCCACCACCATAGAGATGTTCTTGTGGGCAGAGCTTTCATCTCGAAATTTGGCAGAACACCCGCTAGCTGTGACATCTGGAGGCGAGGTTAACAGTGAGATCTGCCACCAGCAGAGCCTTTTGACAGACGAGCCGTAGTGTGAGAGAGAAGCATTGCGTATTCTGCAAGATGATGCATCAAGTTTAATTCCACAGGATATCTCATCAAGCCAATACTGTGAGGTGCGATTGGCTAAAGTTCTGGGATCCCTGAAAGTAACCCCGTTTGAAAGATTTGATTTGAAGCTTGCACTTGAGAGCCATCTGCACCGCAACTTTTGTCTGAAGCTAAAAAATCAGAGCGATCAAGGCACTATGAAGGTAGCTCCAAAGAGTATATTAGGAGATTTGCCTGCCCCTTTCAAGTCTAACAACAAGATTTTCATGGCAGAGCGTCGGCCCCAGATGTGAGTCCAACCACAACATTTTTTGGAGCTCTGGCCTACATTCCCATTGACATATTCGCCTATATGGATCAATGCAAAGTCCAACACAGAAGGATCCTAAGTCAATGGTGATGAAAAGAATTTCACATTATTCAGGGATGTAAAATTCTGCAAGAGGTCCTCGTAGCTGCGGTGTAGCTTTGCACTCATAAGCCCAGCAGCCCTTAACCCAAGTTGGAGGGTCAAGGGGACTTAATAATTAAGAAGGATTACGATGAGGCGAGAGAGGGTTATCATATGATTATAGATGTAACTAAGTCCTCCTGATCCTCCAAGTACACACGTTAAAGTCCGCATTTTTGCGCACGTTCGGTTCAAGACGCTTCGAGGGTCTTCGTGTATACATCTCAGTTTGACCTTCCAGGCGGGATCCTTGGCCTTGCGCAGCGTTTGTGTGAGGGGTTATATAGGGTTATATGTGGATAATAGGGGTATATATATATATACACCCCTTTTTTTGCGGTTTCTCGGGATAATGGAACAGAAAATGGAGACTACTATAGTCTATTCGGGGATGAAAGAGCTTTGGGAAGAATAGCCATTAACACAAAGGACCACTTCATCGCAGCCATGCAGCTGGAAATGGTAGTGGTCACTTCAAGCGGCTTTCCTGGGTGATGACAACTCCGCGGAATGAAGACGGTATTCTTTCAAGGGGCGGCTGATGAACCCCCAATAAATTGTGCCCTATAATCCCTATATAACCCCCCATACAATCCCATATAGCCCCATTATATACCCTAAAATCCTCAACTATGCTTAAGTTGTTGGTCGTGGGGATGGTTTGTCACAATTCGTGGTCCCATGTTGGCCTACAACATTTTTGAGCATATGAAGGGGATCTTACTTTTTTAGAGAGCCCCCTAGTCCCTGAACCCTAAATAGTAGTTTCCATTTTCCATTATCCCTATATAACCCCATTTCCCACCCTAGTCTTCTATAATAGCTTCTATTTTTCTCTTATCCCCTATATAACCCTTATGTAACCCTGAATGTTGGCGAGGTGCTGTGTTGACAGCCATGGCCCAGGTCATTGGCAACCAGGCTCCAGTCCTGTCGCAGCCAAATGGCATGGAGTCAGGTTAAGGGTCCAGTGCGTATTAGTATAGGGTAGAAGATTCAGAGGTATTGAGGGCTTGCTTTTGAGGCTTGCACTTTTTTTTCACCTTTGACCGCTACACTTCCCAACCAACAGGGTCCCTGAGAAGGCCGCTTTTCGACTACTGAAATTTGAAAATCAATTCGCATGGACTGTATGTCAGCTTACTGGCGTCCATCCTTTTATGTAGACGTCCTAAATGTCCTGTGCAACCCGGATCAAAACCATATGGAATCCCACTGAACAATCTTCACCGCAAACAACTACTTGCAAGCTTCGGCATCTGCGGAACTCAAATTCAGAGAGATCAATCCAGTCAATCCTGAAAGTCAACTTAGAGCCTGCGTAACTACGTAATGATACCCCGAAGCAGCCATCAACGCCCCGCCCCTCTCATGAGTTTTTATTCTGTCATACCTGACTCTGCATCGGGAATGGTCCTGTCTGCATGAATCTTGGGAAACGGTGATGACATGATCCGTTCCGGCTGGATTGGCCAGCTACCCCGCATGCAGTGTTAAATCTATCCTCGCCTTTTTTGCTCAGTCCACTTAAAGAGTACCTGCAACAACAGCTACCATTACTCCGCCACTACGAGGCCATCAGCTACTTACCACTACCTGCCTATTCCCGCCTGCGAGGCTCCTTATCTCCATGAGCCTCAGACAAGTGATGTGCTCAGAGAGTCGGGACAGGCGTGGCCGCACGCACTCAAAGACCCAAAAAATGGAAACCAAATTGATGGGGTTGTAGAGACTACGTGTACTAGGAATCAAGCCATCGGAGAGCTCCTGTTGTGTCATGCAAAGATTCCAAGCTTTGTCGCCAACATCTCAGAGGGGTAGGTTTGAAAAACAGTTTTCGGCTTGTTACTCCTAATTCCTATGTAACTCTTATAAAGTCATAACACTTTAATTTTTCCTAGGGCCCCTTAACCCACCCTAGCTCAGTGGTATCGAAGTCGGCAGGCAGTGACTCCCGGCCCGTCCAATGAGGTCTCCAGAGCGCAGGCAGGTTTGCACCTTTGCCTTGGTGCTGCTTGGTAGGAACCCAGACCATGTCAAACTTACTGGGGGTTAGCAGGGAATGAAGGAATGTAGAATACAGGATTACATAAGGATTAAATAGGAATCCTGGCAATACCCGTAGTATTACTAGTATTACAGACTACACCAGTAGGCCCGTTGTTCGCGATGGCGCTTGACAGCTTCGCTTGCTGCAGTGATAGAATGATTCAAGGGGGTTCCAAACCACAACAACAACAATACAAAATAAACAACAAAGAAATACTTCCCCGACAATTATACAGTTTTACATATGGTAGTCAAAGGTTGGTGGATCTGGGGCGAGGTATGTACTGTGTGGGCGAAAACTGACGTCCTTTGATGGTCTTGTATATGGCCAGGTATGCATTCTTTGTGTGATTGTGGAGAGTCTTGCATCACGTGTGCTATGGTCAAAACTCCTTCGAAAGCTTCCAAAGCTGAGATCTCGGGCGCATAGCCCTGCCAGATCTCTGGTCGCAGGCCGCATCCTCGGACGCTGTACGCAATTCGAGGACCAGGCACAGCGCGGGCTGATGTGCGTGAGTACAGTAGGAGGTGGCGGTATGTCAACAAATAACCTGATCGGAAATGCAGCACCTGATGTTTTATTGGAACAGATTTGGAAAAGAGGTCCATAGTAGCTCAGTAGTATGCGGTTTTCGGAGTTTTGCGCAGCGAGAAGTTTTCGACGTGCTGCCAGGACGGTAAGCTTCAACGATGTGGAGTCCGTACACTCTCCGCAGGCGTGCAAGTGTCATCGTAGAGCTGATGAGTTCACAGTCCAGTGGCTGGTTAGAGCAGCACCGTGTATGCTTGCTGCTGGACGGAAGGAACACACTCTAGGCGTCCAGTCTCAGCCGCGAGCTCAGCTGGTAATGCGGACTGTGATCCCAAATCTGTCCTCATCCCTGGACGTAAACTCAGCCGAGGTTCACCACCAACAGCAGCCGGTTGTCCAGAAGGCCCCAGGGACTGGAAAGAGTTCACAGCGTCAGCAGCAGCATCAGTGAAGACGACAGCAGAGGCTGGGACGAAGATTGAAGAGCAACGCCAACTACAAGCATTGACAACTGTGGCAACAGTCATTTGAGTCATTGAAGCAGATTCCCCTAGGCAGACCAAATGGGTTGCTTCGCAAGTCTGCTGTCGCAGGTTGCAGCGTGCCAGCGGCAGGCGCTGTCTTGATTCCAAAGTCGGGGTGAGATGAAGGATCAGAAGAATTCTGGGGAATTCGTAGCCTTGCGGAGGCCTTTGATTGCTACCGGGTGCAAAGGCAGTCATGCCCATCTCGTGCATCCTAATGTGACACACATGATGGGCTGTTTGCCAGTCTTGCTCACTCCTGCAAAGTGCAGAACCTTCATAGACTCCAGAACTACCCCCGGCCATACTCCCCCCAGCCAGCCAAATTTCTTTATTTGGGGACTAATTAGTTGATAAATGGTTGTGTTTTACGGCTATTCGTGGACTAAATAATACTGGGCTGGGGTAGCATGAAGGAGGGCTAGAAACGATTATTCTTGCGTTAATCTATCGCGGCCTGGGCAAATTTGAAGCCTAAATGAGGGTTGAACAAAGCGTAGATAAGGGTTAGATAACGGGTAAATACAGGCTTCCCCCTTATCTACCCCGCCCTTACTCAACCCTTATTTAGCCGTGATTAGCCCGTATTTAACCCTAATCTAACCCGTATTTAGCCCTCATTTGGCCCGTATTCACTCCTTGTTTCCCCCTTATTTAGCCTTTGTTTAGCTTTCATTTATCCCTCATTTACCACTAAACCACTAAACAAGGAAAAAACAAGTGTTAAGTAAGGATGACGTGAAGGTTTTTGCCTGGAATTCCGGCGTGTCCTGGCCAAGAACTTTCCCGTTCGGGCATTGTTCGACTTTTATTCGGCCTTTAATCGAGGCTTACTTCAGACTACACAGAATTTCCCACAAACAGACGCTTATTTAGCCCTTGTTTAGCTCTTATTTAGCCGTTAAATTAGCTTGCCTTGCTGAGTATAGCTGTAGTTTAGCATCCCATGAAACTTGGGCATTGCTAGCTTCACAGCCCTTCTTGGTGAGGATGTTTGCGGGAATCATTGCGTGCAATGTGGGGGCCAGGGAAACAACTTTGAGGGAAGCCTTCTTCCCCGACTGACTGCTGGGAGGTCCCTGTGGCGATATCCAAGCAACACCGGGCAGGTGCCGCGTTACATGCAGAGGCTGGGAAAGATGACAGCAAACGTCACGCTAGTCGTCACAAGGAAGGGGATAGTCGTTAAGAGTTCGTAACATGGTCAGGCATCAATCACCCCAAGTGCTCACCTCTTCCAGCCATATCTAAAACCTAATGTAGCCACATAGTTGGCCCATGTTACAGGGAGTTTGGGGTTTAGGGTTTTGTGTGCGTAGCTCCTACACCATGCACATCTTAGAAAAGGAAATACTAGTAGCAATAGTAATAGCCTAGTAATAGTACTAATAGTAACATCTTGAAGTATGACCAGGAATTACCGCTTTCCAACTCCTCTTTCAACACCCTCCAAAGTAAATATTCCCAAAACAGTAGAGCAGAGCTTATGCTACGGCCTCGAAAGGGCTCTCGGGTTTCTAAGAAGCTTCCGCTGGAATCCCTGCAGTAGGGAGCCGAAAGCTTTATCCCAATTGAGGGTGATTACAATCCTCAACAGACGGGCTTCATTCTAAAGAATGGCCTAAGCCCCCGATAATAGTCCCCTATATGATCCCCTATATACGTAACTTTATAGGGTCTAGGGTTTAGGGTCCCCACACCCGAAGCCCCAAGGAAGGAGACGCTGCAATTTGTATGCCAGGGCCTTCCGTGTAAAGACTTTTGGCCTCCTGGCGCTGCAGCTGCTCGTGGCCCTGGCGATTGGGGCACCTCGCTCAGAACAACTTGATGTCCAAACTTGCCATGTTCCAGGACCCCTTGTACCCCGAAATGGGGGATTATGGTCCATAATGGTGGGTATGTAGGGTAAATAGATGGTAGATGGAAGGTCTATGTTCATGGGGCCTGAATATGGATAGTTTGTTGCCATTGCGGAAGTTCTTGTTGCATTAGCAGAAGTGGTGCTCGTCGTCATCGTTGTCTTCGTTGTAGTAGCCGCAGCAGCAAAAACACCATTGCAGTAGCAGCAAGTGCAGTAGCACGAGGGATGCGAAGAAGAGTACCCAGCGGCTCAAGAGGGTGTATCATATTATTATACAGGCAAAGGCTTCTTGGCAAAGCCACTCCACAGGCGGGCAGAACGGGTAACATCAGCTTTGCATCCCCCTGCATTCTGCCCTGTGTTGGGTGTCAAGGCGGTGATGAGCTACTTAAAGCTCTGGAAAGAGTTTGAGATCCCTTCGAGTCCGGCAGTCACGGAGGCGGGGCATCTCACTTCCCTGGAAGCATGTGCTTGCCAAACCTAGTGATGCCATTGGTTCAGGTCAGGAACCCCTATGACCTCATATGAGTTACATTCTAAACTCCTTGAAGGCATTGCATAGGGGGTTATACAGGGGTGTATTATGGGGCTTATTAAGAGGGATGCTAGGGGTTTAAACTATAGCTTATATGCTCCCCCCACATAACAAAACCAGGTAGTCCCCATATTGCCCCTCATAATCTACAGGAGTCCCTTCTAGGCCCCCAGATAAGGTATTTTCCCAAAATAGGGGGACCCCAATATTCACCCCAACATACTATAATCCTTATTATTGGCACCCTCAAAATGGTACCCCTAATTTTTGGGAAACCCTAAACCTAAACCCTTTTCTCACCCTTTATAACCCCTATAGCCACCCCTTAAACCCTGATTTTGGGAACCCCCCATATAGGTCATCACCTACAGCACGGGCGCCGTCAATCTGCTCTGCGTCCTGCTTCTACACTTTTTGTCAGATCCTGGCCGCAAGCAGGGATAGTAATTAATCGGGTTTAGGGTTTGAGGGTGTAGGGTTTAGGAGTTTAGGGTGTAAGGTGTCCCCTTGGCCTAACATAAGACCCCCACCCGCACTGATATTAAATGTGCTTAATATGGTCTAATATACCATAATGAGGAAAATTTGATGTTTGGGGGGGTGGGGGGTGGTGTTAACAATTTTTGGGAGGAGGGGATTAGCTTCCATTCTTTTTTCCATTCCCCTACATACCACTATAAATCCCTTTACTTACCGGTTCCTAGAATAAGGCAATAATAGGGAATATAAGAATCCCCATTCAAACTATTCCCTTACTCCCTACTAAGCACCAGTGAGTGTAGTACGGAGGTGATTTTTGAAAGTGTTGCTGCATGGAATGGGGATTGCTGCGGTGCTTGCAAAAGGACAGGTTCCCGGCGAACTACCTGCTGCCTGGCTCAAAATGGCAGATAATAACAATGATAAAGGTAAAGCTTAGGCTTTAGGGTTTAGGGATGATATTAACGATCGTAATACTAGTAATATCGGTAGTAATAGTAACAATACTGTTGTCTAGAGTGGTAATCATAGCTATCATAAGAATAGCAATGATAAATAATTCCTTCATAAAGGCAAGAATATGTAAGGAAAGACAAGAGCCAAGCACTAACCACTGCTGTGACCCTTCTGCTGTTTCTCTGAAGCATCTTACGTCATGATGTGGAGAGTTGCTTGCAGCTTGTGGACTATGGAGACCTCTACCAGCAGTGTAAAAATGGAGCGCTCTTTGCGCAGCCTTGGGAATTCTTGTAAAGATGTCGATGCTCCTGGGATACCTCCAAGCGCCTTGCTGCAGAAACCACCCACGGGATGTGCCACACGCTATCAAACATTCGTTCCCTAAGTGCATTCTGCAACAAAGAATCCCTTCCGAAGAAACTGCAGACTTTGCACATACCTGCCTGCAAAACAAGCGCGTGCACTACAGGTGTTTGCTGCTCACGACAATGGTCTCGGGATTTTTTTGGGGACTGCACCTCGGCGCAAGTCCGGCCTGCAGACGAGCTCCTTTTCACATTCCTGGAAGGGCAGTGAAAGGGCACTCCCAGTTAGAGAGCAACACTAATTGCTTCCTGGAAGCCAACGTCCGCCCTGGACATATTTCCTTGGTAAAAGAACATCCTAGGAGGAAGTTCTCAAACTAACCTTTCGATCATTCCTAGTCAGGACGCCTAAAAGCCTTGAGTGAGTTGGGTTTACAGAAAATCGGAGGCTCTGATACGACCCCAAACCCTACAGCTCTAAATCCTAAAGCCCCTAACCCTAAACCCCTTAACCCTAAACCCCTAAATCCCTAAACCCTGAATATAACCCTAAACCCTGTACCCCCCATTTTAGGACGCACCTGGCGCCCCAGTTCGGAGATGAGCTGGTGCATGTACAGAAGCTGAACTGCACAGAACTCACAGGTTTAGGGGGTTTGGGGTTGAGGTCGTAGGGTTAGGGGTTCGGGGTTTAAATTAGGGGGGGGTTTGAGAGATTAGGGGGGGTGGGGGGTTGAGGGTCGAGGGTTTAGGGTTAGGGTTTAGGGGTTTAGGGTTTAGTGTTTATTATCTCTGGCTAGCAGGGAATGGACAAGAAAATGGAAACGACTGCATTATTGGGGATTTTATAGGGATTAAGTATGAGGATCCATTCCTTCCTTGCTTACCACAGGCAAGAGGATGGCTGATAGGATCTCTTTTGAAGAGGAAAGTGGGGGCTAGGGATTTCAATTGCCATTGGGGTTATCTAGGGTACTGTAGGAATGTTAGATACACAAGGATATTCAGGGCTACAGTACCATGGGGTTTATATTTGCAGGCTCTATCGTTGTAAGAAATGGATTGAAAGCTTGCCGGGTTTGCCAGGGTTAAGAATCGGTTTTTGCAGATCCTTATAGTGGGAATGGGAATGTTTTGCGAAATAGACGGGTGCCCCTAGGTGCCCAGAATGTTGGAAGTCTCATGGATGCATTATCAAGGAGGGTGGAAGTCCCCAAGCAGGTTATGCCTATCGTTATCAGAAGTATAACCCATCTAGGGCTACACATGGTTCTTTAAGTGGCCTTTAGACTTACGGTGTACACTTCACACACGTGTATTTTTGACTAACTAGGATTCATTTGGTATCGTTTTGTCAAAATCGTCTTTGTTCATACTGGAGGGGGGATGCATTTTTTGACAAAAAATCCGTCAGATGATTTCTTCTGCAGCTTGATTTGATTTGGATGTGATTGGCCCATGTGTGGCTTGGAGCTGCATGAAGATATGCCACCCCATTCTGGTGTCGTAGTATTGCGGAGCATGTAAAGGGGATAATCATTCCTTCCAGAAATATTGCTGATTCTTAGAACAGCTGAACAGTCCACCTAGAAATTACAGGAGGCCATCAAGGGAGGCCTGAGAGAGCCAGCAGGCATTGAGTATCCGGCGTTGAAATGGGAGTTGGCAGCGCCGAACTTGTAGAAATTCACAGTTCGTAACTCAAAAACACAAAAACAAGCACCGCTAGGGTTCAGCACTTGTGTCATCCCCTCATAATAGACATATATCCCCAGGGTCAGATTTCGAGAAACTTCTTTTTGACGAGAGTCACAAGCCCAGCAGAGTCAAGGATTGGCCTGATCCTGTTTATTACCATGTTTGTGGCGGCAGCCACTTGGCTTTAAGCATGGACAACATCACTGTAGGGCCTCGGTATTGGCACTGCTTATGCGCGGTCGTTTGTTGGGAAGACTTTGCGAGTTTAAGAACTGGACGTGCAGGCGGTTTAGAGTATTGCTGAAGGCATTTTTGGTGGGTAGGGGACTATGCGAAGACGACCAATTGTAAACAAGAAGTGCCTTTGAGCAGACATAGACATCCTACACCTTCTTCAAGTCTGCTGGGGCAACCTTACTCCTAAACCCTCTAAACCCGGACACGCTACACCCTAAACTTATTTGTTCTTAGTAGGGAATAAGGAAAATATTTGAATATATTAGGTCAGCATTACGTAGGGATTATATTCCCTTATTCCCTACTAAGAACCAGTCAGTAAACCCAGATCATCATCGGGCCCCCCGCCTACATCTTCAGCAGTTTGTAAATCTGCCTTGCATTGCCCTTCCCCTAGCAGCAAGCCTACATCCCATCATTACATGATACTGTTGATACTGAAGATCCTACGAGACCTTTGCTAACTACAATTCCACAACTCCCAAGGTAGAAGGTACCTTGGGTCATGCAGGATGTTAAGCATCAAATGCTTTACATGTGTCCCCCAACATATTTGGGCAATTGAGAGGATACAGGATTCACAATTTAAGAATGACCGTCTGCTTTGATCTGCCAAGGTGGTCTCGTACATCCTGGACAGCCGGGAAGAGAAGATCACTGGCTCCAGCTTGATTGCGATCTCCCTTGGCTCTGGCTACCTCCTGGGCGCAATAACCAATGCGCCTTACCCTGAAAGGAAGGTGGTAAGTACTCCTGACTCGAATAAGATATGTGCTTGTGCTCAGGAGGCAGGGTCTGTTGGAGCGAAAGTTGCAAGAATATGCCCGCCGTAGTCAAATGCGTACGGACGCTTCTGTACTGCTCTCACGACGCATTGAAGCTTTCATACTTTCAGATCAGGTTTAGGATTCTCAAGAGAGGAGGGTTCCTTTACCTCGATGAGGAGAGTGGATGGCAAACACTGTCCGAGTCAGTGAGTAAACACTCCACGTCACGAGTGATTGCAGCTTGTGCAATAAGGTTTCCCACGACGGAATACGATCAGAATTGAAATGTATGTGCATTTGCGACATGGTTCGTTAGTGGAACGCAATATCTTTAGCAACCCAGGTGCAAGAGGTAAGAGTCTTGGATTTTGCTAGAAGATTCCTTCTGGTGCTTCTGGCTCAGATTCGGAGAGCGTTCCTGAAAACCCAAGGATTCTGCTGAAGACTCACAAGGCCCTGTACTATAATACATTAAGAGTTTTCATAGTGTAGTATCAGTACATGTTAATAAACTATGATAGCAAAATATACCCTTCCTCTTTCCTTTTCCCCGCTTCCAGGTGCTCCTCTTCACCCTCGTTCTGGAAGCCACACCGTTTCAAATCTTTGGCGGGATAGGCTGGGCTCTTGCTGAAAACATACACTGAATGAAATCGAGCGCAAAAGTATGTTCCATCAAAGCTCAAGCTTGCTTCTGAAAGTGGCGGTTATTTGCAGCAGCTCGGCTTCTCTTTCAGGCTTCGCGCTGCTGCTGCTAGGGATTCTGCTGCTGGATGTGGGTGCCGAACCAAGCAAAGTGTGTTTTCAGTCCGCAGCCATGCAAATTCCATCCTGTTTGCCTGTTGTGGAGATGCACAAAGTGTGCTAAATTGCCCACGGCCCCTCCAGCAGAGATCATGTCCAACATGACAGCTCTGCTTTGCAAAGCAGCGGATTCAACTCCAAGCAGTGAAGGTGGTTTGCTGATCACCTGCCAGCCAGACGATTTTATGCAACTTGGCGACAATTTTTGGGACTCCATCAGCCCAACTCAGGTGGGAAAGAGCATTTACTGCAGTCAAAAGGACTATGTTGAGAGACTATTAGAATTGTTTGACTTTTGATAGGGTCTGGGTCGCTGTAGCTTTATAACCCCAATATATACCCTATTATACTATAGTAGTTTCCATTTTCTTTTCCATTATCCCTATATAACCCCTATAAAACCCCAAAGTGTTCATGGCTTCATACTTCATACCATGCCTCCTTTCTTTGCAGAATTTCCTGGCTTTTCTATGAGGACCGTCATTGTGGCGATGAACTCCACCCTCCTGGTCATTGCCGGGACCTCAATTCTTCGGATTTGGGGCTTGCACATAAGTAGATAGAATATGGGGCTTTATAGGGGTTATATAGGGATAATGGAAAAGAAAATGGAAACTACTATAGTATAATAGGGTATATATTGGGGTTATAATGCCCTATGTCCTAAGCTTTTGACAGTCAACAGAGGCCCCAGCAAACAATCAAATCAGCCGACGACATCCGACCCTTCAGGTACCATGTTTCTGCTTATCTGATCTTAACCCGTCGTGCGAGGTAAGCCCCCAAAACGGAGTTGCTATGGGCGCCTGTCCAGCGCGACAGCTTGTAGGTCGTTTAGTGGGAATATTATATTCCTCAAGTAAGATGGCATCCTCCTTTCAGCGAAGTTCTGGTATATGAGAAATGAAAAATACACTTATCTGGTTCAACCGCCCAGCACAAATAATTTAAGATGCACATGGGATAGCGACGCACGGGAGACCCAGACATGGATGCAATGCAATTTGCTCGGCATGCGTGATTATCTGGGCTTCCTAAACTCATTGGTGCTTAAGGGGGAGTGGGGGAGTGAATGTAGGGACAATTATAGGGGTTTACATATAGATATATATATATATACATATGGATTACATGGGATCCCCTCAACCACTCTCCCTAAGCAGCAGTAAGCAAAGGCTGGATGCAAAAGAGCTTCCACTCCGGGAATATGAATATTTCGTCGTTTAAGTGTTAGCAAAGTGCATGAGAGAACCTACAGCAGCTGTCCAGAAGGTCCAGGAGAGTATGCGGATGTTCGGATTTGTCCCCTCCACATGGCTAAGTTATAAACTACCCCAGACGCTGCTTTGATAAGCTTTCACTCCAGCTTGAAGATTGGGAGCCATGAGCCCTGCACGCACGTTGTCTAAGCCCGGAAGGAGACAAATTTTTGTTCAGCCGCCCAAATCTTGGGAAATGGGTAATGACCTTACCCGGCCACACCTTAACTTGTGATTTATCTACAAAATACTACACTCCCCCAAACTAACATGGAAACCCATATAGGCCCATTTTAGAGGGACTGTAATCTTTATAGGGCCCTTTTGGGGTTTCCATGTTAGTTTCCGGGAGTGTAATATTCCTAAATTCGCTTCATGTCAGGTTCTGAAATTATGGGTTAGAAAGGCGCTACTTGAAGGCCTAGAAGACCTAGTAAGTGGGCCGTAGAGGGTTTTTATGAGGTAAACAAGTTTAGAACCTACTTACTAAGTCCCCTGAACCTTGAACTTGCCTCTGGTTAACTAGGAAATGGTCCCTATACAACCCATTATCGTAGTCTCCATGTTCTTTTCCATTCCTTCATTCCCAGCTAACCTAAGGTAAGTGAAGTTAAACCCTGAACCCTAAACCCTAAAGTGAAGTACCCAGGTCAGCATTCCCTTCTTCTTCCTGGGCTTTTGCATTCTTAGGTTGGGCGAGGCGAGGGAGGTGGGGCGTTATGTAGGGAGTTTAAGGCAACTATGTGGGATGGCATGGGGATAGCATTGGGATTGCTTCCCCCTTTTTAGCATGGAACTCCAGAATTTCGCCGACTTTTGAAAGGAAAGCAGTGTTGATAGGCCCCTTTTGGGGCTCCATATGGAACAGATGGGGAGGGTGGATGAGTTCATATAATGTGCGAAGAAAGGATGCAGCACATCTCACGTTCTCCCCGAAGTATTCAGCGACAACCTACTTGTAATTCGGGCTACAACCCTGTTGTGACAGCGAAGTTGAGATGCATAAATCATCAGCCCCACGGCGACGTGTTAGTTTGAAGACTTACCATCTATGCGCCTATAGTCCCCCTTAAGTAGATAGAATATAGTTTTGGGTATATTATAATAAGATCCCCATATATCCCACATCCTATCTACTTAAGGGGGGCTATGGTCTTTTGTAGTTTCCCAATTGCATCATAACACAGGAGTTAGTCAAAAGGACGCAGATGTAATGAGTGAGGTTTCTCAACATAACTCTAAATCATCCCAAGGGAGGTACCCCGTTGGGGTAACATTGGGGTTATATTGGAATCATGGAAAATGGAATTGGAACTACTATTTGGGGTTTAGGGTTAAGTCTCTTCCTTGTTCCCACATACTGTTGACAGGTCTAAAGTAGGTATTTGTGCTTCCTGTAGGTCTGCAAGGGAAAATGTAGGGGAATGTGCTTTACCTAATGGCAATTCTTGGGAACAAGAATCTTCATCAACCACTACTAACAGTGATGCAGACGTTTTTCATACCAGCCATGTACAGGGGATGCCACCACGTCCGGCAGGTGGAGGAGCCTCATGCTCCAGAGATTCCAGAGGCGAATTCAAGAAGGCAGGGATGGGAGGTTCCGGTCACCACTGAGTGATTTTCCTCTGCAGGTTGTGCAGAACTGAAGTTAGATGTGTATATATATATACATATGTCTCAAACATTAAGACTAGTCTTGTGCAAGTTTTGTAGGCCTTTGCACAGCAGCTACAATGGCAACTGCGACAAGATGAAGGCTGATGTAGGCTTAGCAAAGATGTGCGGAAGGAGGCTAATACAACCACAGTCTAAACTCCTAGTATGCCCCTTATTAGCCCCTATGGTAGTCCCCTATATAACCCCCCTCAACCCCCCTTTAAGGACTCTAGGTTACAGCTCATAATCCCTACGAACCCCTACATAGTCTCAGTTTCCATTTCATGTTTCATATTCTGTTCCATTGGATTCTCCATTATTGGGGGTAATATTCCTAAACCCTATACCGTAAATAGTAGTTTCCATTTTCTCTTCCAGTATCCCGATATTATCCCAATATAAACCATACCCCAATATGACCCCAATATCCCCTAAACCCTGAACCCATTAGCTTGAAGCGGGCGAGGTCCAGGTCTCACGTTTCCTATCCCGGCTCTAAGCACTTGAGCCCAGAATCTTACGAATGGAATTGACAGAACCCTTCGGATTTTTGAAGTGCCTTCAATGGGGACTGCTAGCAAGAGTTCTATGACCCATGAGCCTTTCAGACCTGAAGCCAGCAGTCATTTGTTTCGGCCAGAAGCATCGGAGCTACCTCATGCTAACTATCCAAGACTCCTTGCAAACGGGTTGTAGAGCCGCACAATATGGGAAGATGTCATCACTCGCAGGCTCATAATGTTGCATACAGCAGCTCATCCACGTGAAACCCTGCAGGTAAACAAGTGGTGCTCTGCCTGCACGGCGTCGCCATTCATGTTCCCCATGAGGCGTCTCATGGTTATGCATGTGTTGGACGCGTCGGCGCGAGATCTGCGGTTGGCTGCTCTTCGTTTTTGCTGTGCAGTTCTAGGCCATAATTAGAGGGCTAATGCTGCACCACTTGAATCCTAGTCATCACTACAACTTTACACCATCCAAACGCCGCAGCCCGCCAGCATTGCATGAGAGTAATTCATGGCAAGTGTTGCCGCGCGTCAAGCCGCTGCGCTATCGGCTGACCCCTGAAGCTTTAAGTCTGCAGCGACCACCAGGGACTTACATGCCCATATCACCGCTAGGAACACCCTTCATATACCATCCTTCCTTTCAGTCTGTCATGCAATGCGAAAACAACAAGAATTCTGCGACAAGGGTGAAGTTACAAGAAGACCTCCAGGTTATGACAAAAGCGCAGGCATTCAAAAATGCATATACATGCAGATCTCCAGACCTTCCCAGTCTCTTCGGTCAAAAGTTGATGATGCACCCCAGTTTAAAAAGTTGATGCATATCCTTCTTACCCCCTTCAAGTTCTAAAGCCCGTGATATATGTGTGATGTGCATATACATGTGGAGCTGCACACATATACATATGAATATATATATACATATATACATATAAGTACATACAACTGTGTATATATATATACATACATATCCATATACATATCCCAACATATGTATATATGTATCTGTATATGTGTGTGTTAAGACATATATATATATATATACATATACAGCTTCAACCCATGCCCCTCATGTTCCATTGGGGCGGCCTCAGAAGTCTGGTCGCTGTGAGCTCAGGTTGAACAGCTCGGCTTTCGGTGTACAGAAGAGTAGAATCAGAACATGGGAGGTGCTCTAAAACATGGGCCCAAAGGGGTTTAGGGTTTAGGGAATAGTGGAACATGGGAGGTGTTCTAAAACAT